TTACAGTAGTTTTACAGTAGTTTTGCAGAGTGTTACAGTAGTTTTGCAGGGTGTTACAGTAGTTTTACAGCTTGTTACAGTAGTTTTAAAGTGTGTTACAGTGTGTTACATTAATTTAACAGTGTTACAGTAGTTTTACAGTGTGTTACAGTAGTTTTACAGTGTGTTACTGTGTGTTACAGTAGTTTTAAAGTGTGTTACTGTGTGTTACAGTAGTTTTACAGTGTGTTACAGTAGTTTTACAGCTTGTTACAGTAGTTTTACAGCGTGTTACAGTAGTTTTACAGTGTTACAGTAGTTTTACAGCTCGTTACAGTGTGTTACAGTAGTTTACAGTGTGTTACAGCATGGTACAGTAGTTTTAAAGTGTGTTACAGTGTCTTACAGTAGTTTTACAGTGATTACAGTAGTTTTACAGTGTGTTACAGTAGTTTTACAGTGTGTTACAGTAGTTTACAGTGTGTTACAGCGTGTTACAGTAGTTTTAAAGCGTGTTACAGTGTATTACAGTAGTTTTACAGTGTATTACAGTAGTTTTACAGTGTGTTACTGTATGTTACAGTAGTTTTACACTGTTACAGTAGTTTACAGCTTGTTACAGTAGTTTTACAGTGTTACAGTAGTTTTACAGCATGTTACAGTAGTTTTACAACGTGTTACAGTGTGTTACAGTAGTTTACAGTGTGTTACAGCGTGGTACAGTAGTTTTAAAGTGTGTTACAGTGTCTTACAGTGTCTTACAGTGTTACAGTAGTTTTACAGTGTGTTACAGTAGTTTTACAGCGTGTTACAGTGTGTTACAGTAGTTTTGCAGTGTGTTACAGTAGTTTTACAGTGCACTTCCTGTTTTGTTGCAGCGTATAACTTTGGGTTTGATGCGGTGACGGCTCACCCTGAACTCAAGGTTCAGAGTGACACTGTGACCTGGGAGCCGCAGGGGGTCAAAGGTCACGACCCCCGACTGAGAGGAAAGGAGAATAAGAGCAGGTGAGGAGCTTTTGATTGTATCACATGATCTTCCTCAGTAGACACTGATTCAGTTTTATTTGTATAAATTATCTCAGGACATGTACATATATATAAAATAATATAAACATATTTCATTCTTTAATGTAAAACTGTATACATAAATATATTGCTGTTATTGTAATTGATTATGTATCAATATGACAACTGATCTCAGAACAGCATCATTCCAACACTACAAAGAGGTCAAAGGTCACCCAGAGAGTGATCAATAACCAATCAATCATTATTATGATGGTCACAGAGCTTCAGTTCAGACTGCAGGATCCACAAAGCTGCTATTGATCTATTGATCTATTAATTGATCAGATTAATTTAATTTTATTTAATTTTCAGTTTGTTTTCATCTTCAGTTGTTTGACGTTTTTGTCCCTCTGCAGTCTCCGTACTCTTCAACACGCTCAGGTAGAAACTGTCATTGCTGACCGGTTGCCTAGCAACCACTGTGTCACTAATCACTTTCCTCATCCATCACTGCTGACATCACTGCTGACATCACATCTTTACAGTTAAATAAAATCTTCATGTTTGTGTGTAATTTGTTGTTAATTGATGTTTTTATTTCTTTAATTAAAATCTTATCACAAACATTTGACTGACTTTATATAAAGTTCAGTGTTTGTACTTATTGTAAGAACTAATTTAAATTCTCTTTACCACAATATTACAGTTAGGTACTTATCTGTTCTCGCTAATGTTGTCATTGCTAACACTGCTGTTAACGCTAACACTGCTAACACTTCTAACATTGCTAACAGCCACAGATGATTTCTGCCCCTTTATGTTTCTGTGTTGTCGCTGGCTCCAAACCTGTTGTTGGTTCTGGACGTTAAATCCCGTTAACTTAACGACCCAATGGATCAGGAAATGCTTTAAATAATATTTATAATTTAAGTTATATTTTGTGTTGTTATTCTCATATTTTTCATCTTTCTCTTTGCTGCATCATCGCTTTGGCACGACCTCATTGGCTGTTTCACCTCACTGTTGTTCCACTGGGGGCGGGGTCACACTCGCACGAATGTGCACCAAAGAAGAAAAGATGCAAATTCTGTCATGTTATTCTCTCGGAAATTAAACATACTTAACTGTTTCACCCTCTGATTTGTTTTTTAATGTCTTATTTCATTAGCAGCAGAAGCGCCACGCCGTCCCCCAATAAGACAGCAGGAAGTCGAGCAGGACGCGATCGATTCGCTGGGGAGTCGTACACAGTGCTGGGTACTTCCACTCTTGATCTGTTCTCTCAGGACACTTATCAAATAGACCAAAGTTTTTATAAAATGATTTACAGAGACCAGTTAGAGTGAGTGAGAGAGAGAGAGAGAGAGAGAGATAACAAATATAATAGTAGAAATATGACATAATAATGATAATAATGATAGTACTAATGTTAATGAATGCTGTATTTTTTTATTTTTTTATTTTTTTATTTTTTGTTTTTGTTAAATTGTTTTTTAAACAAAAAATTAAACATTGTTTCATCTAAATGACTATTATTTTGAAAGTTGCAACAGGACAGGCTTTAAATATAAAAATTTTAATTTAAGAGAAAAATTCTTCAAACTTTTATATATTTTTCTTCACGCTGGAAAAAAGTCACGTTTTCTACTTTTTAAAGTTTTTTTTCTTCTCCCGTCTCCTAGGTGACCAGGAGATGAGTGGTGGCTGTCACTACTGGGAGCTCCGCCCCCTGGATGACTGGAAGTCATTCAGTGTAGGTGTGGCCTACCGGGCAAGTCTGGGCCGCTTTGACCAATTAGGGAAGAGTGCTGGTTCATGGTGTCTCCACGCCAGCCAATGGCTGCAGAGCTCGCTCGCCGCAAAACACAACAACCGAGCGAAAGCACTGGATTGGCCGCTGCCGCAGCGGATTGGGATCTACTGCGACTACGACAACGGTACGAAACAATATGAATAAAAGTTTTATTTAAAAATATTTCCTGTTTTTATTCGTCGTTTATTTAGTCTGTTTGTGTGTCAGGTGATTTATTGTTTATCGACGTCGAACACCTTCGTCTTCTTCATGCCTTCAAAACGAAGTTCAACCAGCCGCTTGTCCCCGCCTTCACTGTGAGTACTGCAGTAGCAACATTGTCAGGTCCGTGCGGGCGGAAATTTTCGTTATTTTCTAAGGGTCCACTATGAGCATGCGCAAAATGGCCCCCCTCGCGGGGCCCATAAAAACCTCGTACCACCCATGGGACCCCTTTCACCGATATGGCATCTAAAATCCAGCACACACGTAGATCCTTACCCAGACGAACAAAAAATCCGGTGGCCACCACTATCCCAAACCCAACAGGAAGTCAGCCATTTTGGATTTACGCAGCCATTTCCTGGCAATTTGCACACATTGAACTCCTCCCTCCTAGGGAATTGATGGATTGACTTCAAGATTTGGACACAGCCCATATAAAGACATTCACGATTAAAAGTTTTGTGCTATTTAGCGGGACATTTCTGCCAAACGGCGTGGCCCTGTAGGTGTGGCGTGGAACTTCAACGACTCGGCCATGAAAGACGGATTTGTTCATAAACTTCTGCGTACATGATCCAGATCTCAACTAAACTTCCAGGTGTTTGATTTAGGAGTTTCCCGCCCTGAA